TTCAAAAATACTAATATTTTTCTTGCATTAGATCACTATGACTACTTTTCTTTATGGTTCTGGCTCCCAACTTCGCTCTCAGCGTTACTACTGTTTTACAACAGTTTGACAACAATTTACTTTATACAAGATCAGAACAATTTCGAACGAATGTGCATCATACTATCAAAATTGAAAGGTCCTCTAGTTTTATACAGGATGACCCGCATAACGTGTGTGTGCCCATACGTCTCACCTTCTTTTTCGGTGGACTTAATGTTCCCAAAAATCGCCCAGCCTGTGAGACGGAGTGCTATTCTCGGTTTTCAAATTTCAATTCCGTAGCGTTTTCTCCATCTCCAACGACCGTCGTTACGACAAGGCCGGACACTTTTTTCAAAGACTCCCGAGTACTGTGTTTCATGGCAGCTCGTAAATGCAAATTCACGGAAAGAACGAGCTCTCTAGGGGAGGGCCGTGATGGTAGAAGGCGAAAAAGCTGTTTTCCTAAATTCTGGACGGTGACGCGCGTTTATGGGTATTTACCGGGTGTCCACGAAATTTCAAGCTGAATTTCGACAGTGTACTCTTCATGGAGGTTGACTTCGAATATAAAAAATAGAGTCTAAAGAAATATTATTTAATTATAGTTGGTTTCGTAAATTTTGAATGGGAACGTTTATGAGTATGTACCGGGTGTCTATGAAATTTCAAGCTCAGTTTCTACAGTGTACTACTCATGGGGGTTGATTTCGAATATCATAAATAATGTATATTGAAATATTCTTTAATTAAAGTTGTTTTCGTAAATTCTGAATGGGAACGTTTATGAGTATGTACCGGGTGTCCACAAAATTCCCGGTTCATTTTCGATAGAACACTCATGGATGTTGATTTCGAATATCAGAAATTAAGTCTATAGAAATTTTCTTTAATTAAAGTTCGCGAAGATATACCGTGTGTCACCGAAATATCGGGTTCACTTTAGACAGTATATAGATTTAATCATATTCTGAGATATTCTCGTTAATATCTGATATTTCGAGGTGAGTATACAGAAAGGAGCACGTAGACGCCGTTAACCCACAAAATCTGCAATGTACAGGACACATTATTTAAATTCACGGGGAAGATCGAGGTTTGCTTTCGAGAGTCCATCTTTGATGGACGAAGATCATACGGTTATCCCCGAGAATCGGATAGCTTTCGAGAGTCACATTGTCGATGCTCGGCCGGAACCGCCGCAGGTTAATAAATTCCCTTTAATTAACCGGAAACGGCCCGAAACCTAAGCTCCTGGGCACTTCCTACCAAGTACCAGCTCGAGTTGTTACGGAAATTTATTACACGAATCGCCCAAAGACAGAACCAGTTTCCCTCGGGTTTACGGAGTTCATCCCCCCCCTTCCCCATCCCCCAACTCGGCGCTGATAAGATTTCGACGCGGCGAGACTGATCATGGACCCTAATCGTTCCGAGATCTTGATGGTCGAACATTAACTTTAAAATGATCATACTGAAACATCGTTGCCAACCCCAGAACATTAAATTCCGACCACGTTTCTATCAATCTAAAAATGTCACTGAAATGGAAAGCCAAATAGGTTACCATGTCTAAATAGCAAAAGTTTACGAAAATTTATAATTGTAAATACTAACATACAGGGTGTTTCATTTGACTCGCTGAACGAATATATGAAAGGATATTAATATTAGTTGTATTTTTTAAAAAAAAGGAAAAAGACGTGTGTGTTAATATTGATAATCAAGGCCATATGTGGTTAAACTACCTGACTGATGTGGTCACACAGGTAGTATTCAAGTCGTATATGATCATGTAAGTAGAAAAGTAACTACAAAATAGAAAAACCTATTAAAACGAAAATTCGTAAAATAAAATCCAACGAGGTTCTCATTTTATCGTCAGCCTAATAACATCTTTAACGCAAAATAAAAAAATTCGATGACCACGTTCCCGCGGAAAAATCATGGAATTATGGGTAAAACGAGTGTGCCAGGCCAATAGTCCGCGCGATAAGGCTGCGCTTTTCATTTCCTGCGACGAGGGGACGTTATTTTCCGCGATTTGTCTGGTGCAAAAACGCGAGCCGTGTGAAACGACCAATTAGCAAGGCACGGGGAGCCGTGGATGAACACGCGCGCGTGTCCGCATGGAAACGCGTCGCATCTCCGCCGGCGCGCGAGGGCCTTTTGTCTTTTTAATTGTGACCGATGATTGAACCATTCCCTGGTTGACCCACAAATCGCGGAATTCGTTCGATCTCCGTTCGCATCCCAGGATCGAGGCAGCGACGCGTGCGATTTTTTCGCCTAATTCGACTGCAGCACACGCCATTACAGTTGGATTTTCCGCGGGAATTGGGAAGGAAATAGCAGGCCTGATTCGATGAGTTTCCAAGTTTTTATGACGATGGTGAACCGAAGCAGATTTTTTTAATATTTACGTGACCCGTGGCTGGGTCCCTGGCGACTTGTCCATGAGTACAGACACTGAACTGATTATGGAAAGTCAAAGGTATAGATGGAACAAATTATGGGTCACGATTCACCCAGCCACCGGCCTCTGATCGTCTATACTCTGAGGTTTAATAATTTAGTAACGCGTCAAATCCGTAAGGAATGGCATCAAATGATACATGTCAATAACATGGCAACCAAATGGTAACAAAAATGGTAACAAAAATGGTAACAAAAATGGTAACAAGAATGGTAACAAAAATGGTAACAAAATGGCACAACGTAGAAATAAATGAGACAAAATGGAATATTATTTAAAATTCGCCAGATGCATTATTTCAAAGTTGCAATAAAAACTACAATTATTAATACAGTTCCTCCCGACCAACCCAATAAATGAAACGACTTCTAGCTTTGCAAGGGGCCGATCCATGGCCCCTTCTAACACCTCCGATGCAACATTATATCCGGGGGAACTGGAGTACGTTCTAGTACTAACGTGGCCAACAGCGGAGCGAGGGAAAACCGGAAACTTAATCGGTTCGTGGAAACGACAAAAGGCGTCGCGCGGCCCATGAGCCGAGTGCACTCGGTTCGTTGTCGACGGGAGAAAGTGTTCCCCGCGGCGTTTGTCGGTTGTTCGTTCGAGTCGTTCGGTTCGAGGGGCCCAACCCCTCCCCCCCTCCTCCTTCATTCTCCCAGAGCAGTGCCACTTGACGTGTTTTTCGCAGACGGGGAATACGGTGGATTGACCGACCGCGACCGATCCTCGACCTTCCCTGTCCCCATTGTGCGATTCCGTTTGATGCTGGTAACTCTATTACGGCAGCACGGGGATCGAGCAAATACACCGCGAATCGAGCTACAAACCGTACACCCATGTTCGTTCTGCGACACTCGTTCCCGATAGAGTTTCGGGAATGTAAACGGTATCCCCGCAACGGTAGTTTCAATTCTGCTGAAGATTGGATATCGGGAGCGATGCATAGAAGCGTGTTGAAAATTTTGTTGCTATCATCGATATTGGATATTTCTGCGGTATTATATATATATAAACATTCGCTCGATACTTTTCGAAATCTCCTCATTGTTAGTGATTCTGGGATCAATATTTGAGGATGAAAAATGTCCGTTTTGCAAAAGATAGATAGGAACTGAAAGTAATAACACTAAATGGCACTAAATAGTACTAAACGTCATACAATCTCATTAAATGGTATTAAATGGTATGAAATGGTATGAAATGGTCTGAAATGGTATTAAATGGCATTAAATGGCATTAAATGAAATTAAATGGCACTAAATAGCAAGAAATATAGTAAATGGCACTAAAGAGCAAGAAATCTAGGAAATGGCACTAAATAGCAAGAAATATAGGAAATGGCATTAAATAGCAAGAAATCTAGGAAATGCCACTAAATAGCAAGAAATGTAGGAAATGGCACTAAATGGCACTGAAAACGATAAAAAAAAGTTGTAAAAACCGGTAAGAAATTCCAAAAACAAGGTAGTGTATGTATTGTATATCGCATGATAGTGTTGTATAGTGTATACATTGATGACAAGCGACAAAGGTCAAGAAATCGCCCTGAATCCAAACCAGTAATTCAAGCCGGTCGGACCGTGAAGTGCGTCGATTACCTATTGAGAGGGTCGTCGCAACTTCGCAATTCAGAAGTGCAATCCGCGTCCATGGAACGACGGATCGAACGGTACAAGTTTACCACGACTCGAAATAATCCTGTTTGGTCCGTCTCGAGGGCCCCGGGGCTTTAATTAATTAATTTCGAACTGTCCCAAGATCGACAACTTATTCGCCCCTTTAAACTCTCCAAGTACCACGTCAGCGAAAGACGCAATGCTTCTAAGTTAAATTAAAACGCGTAGATTCTCGTCCAAGAGATTCTTCCCTATTGGAAGTGTCCGACGATCGTGCTTTAAAGGACACCCATGGCATGATTCATGTGTACATAATAAACCCTCGTAGCACAAAAATATTGAAAACATATTTGTTTAGCCACACTTTTTAATATGAAATAAATATTGAATCCAAATATTGTATACATACACAGAAAATATAAAGTACATGTCTCCAATATTAAATACATATTTATTTTATATTGGGAGAAAATATTTTTTTCGTAATATGAAATAAACATTGTATGTATATTTAAATATTAAAAAGAGATCGAAACAATTTTTAAAATTGGATGAATATGTATTTAATATTTTGTGCTACTAGGGAACTGTCTAGCATTATCCATACAAAATCATACTAGAAATACAATTGTATATTTCTCCTATGAATAAACAACCCGAATTTAAATGAATGGAATAATAAATAAAGAAATCGGAACTTTCCCTTGACCATGGATAAATTAAACTAGTAATAAAATTGTATACTTTGTCATATAAATAAACAATCGAAACAATAATAAATTCAATGATAAATAAACAAATAGGAACTTCCTCTTGACCATGACAGGGGTCAATCTTTCACGAGGTCTGAACAATAATCGAATTAATGCACAATAACCACCTACCTTGACGTTCCCGTACTTCCAGGTGAACAAGGCGACGGCTGGCAAACAGGCGATGACGCAGCATTCCAGGATCAAGATAGCTGTCCTCATCAGCCAGTTCAAGGACACGACGCAGGGCGAGTCATCCTCACAGGACTCGCAGCCCTCTGCGCACGGAAGACACTCGAAGACGCCGTCCAAATCGTACTGGCTCTCGTCACCCTACCGAGCGTAATATGTATCAAAGATAATGTCCCATTGACCTAGGCCACTTCACTGCACGTACGACCCCCCGCCCCGCCCCAACTACTTGAACACTACCGAATTCGTACACCCGTGACGCGACGCGTTCTGTACCAGGTACGGGGAGATACTGACTAGTGCGTAGTATTATTGTTCTACCGGAGTGGGGAGCGAGGCCTGTCCACTGCGGTCTAATTGGCCGTCTCAAGGTCTTTGTCCGAGGTAGAGGAGGGGGAACTGGCTTGGGACCAGGGCTGCCAGGAATATTGTGAACATGGCCACTGGGAGTCCGTATGACGTAGAGAGTAGTGGAGGGGGAACGCACTACAGCGACCTTCGCATGCTGTGCACAAGGCTTATTAGTAAATATACAGGATAAGTCACCTAACTGTACCACCTGAATTTACTCATAAACTTCTATAGAATAAATGTTATAGAATAATAATTCTATGGAAGAAATGTTTCGAACGAAAGGTGTTTGATGTGGAGTGGGGCATGGAATGTTACAATTAGTTTTTTGATGTTGCGCTTTTTTATCGAAACATGATGACCTTGAGTTTTTGTACCACAGTGTGGATATTTTCCCCTGCGACTCGATAGAATATTTAATGCTGAATAAAAAAAGTACTAAGGTATATGGGGTAAGGACCTAATAATTACCGAGAGTCAGAGGATGACAAGTCCATACACCAATTGTCTGCTTGGTACAGGAGTTCAATGTTCATGGCAAACCTTTTTAGGAATACAAATGCGTTGTGCAAAGTTCGTGGAGGGAATGGTTAACATCTGAGATTCCTTACGTATAACGTATCCACAAGAAGTCACGTGGCCTTCCTAGGCGTGTCATTAAGCTCCTCCCCGTAACGTGGCGTCACGCTATTGGTCGTCACGCCCACCGACCATCCTCCTGACCCCGCCCATACCTACCGACTCCTCCCGCTAACGATATCCAACCACGATCGACAATAGTACTGTAAATAATTGCTACGAGAAAGTGTCGGAACGAGAATGTATATGCAAACCGTTCAAAGGGCCGATCGAAGTTTCCGATTTCATTCACTTCACTCGTTCTGGACTTTCATACGTGGAAACGGTGCCATTAAATCCCGCAGAATAACCGTGTAAGCTCGGATCATTTATCAGGTTTCGACGCTATTAATCCCATCCATGGTCGTAATTCAGGCTGTTCACCGGGACGGTTCATTAACGTTCGCCGCCGAAACGCCATTAAAAGGAATACTGACCCGAAAACAAATTCTCTCCTCCCCCCCTCCCCTGCCCCCTCCTACACCTATAACCGGTTAACGATACCGGACAAGTTATCCCGCGACGGGTATCGTCGTTGCCCAGGGAAATCCTAGCGACTACAAATCACGACGTCGTAAATCGTATTCACGATCGGCCTTAAGTTCCAGCGGATTTATCGTTCTCACAAATCACCGCCTGCGGCATTATGGTTTAGGATATTAGAGGCGACTAACCACGCCCAGCCAGTACCCATACCCGCCCTTCCGCCACTGCCGCCAGCCATGTATTGCGAGTCATCTGGTGCGTTTTGCAGTAGAAGAAATGACCCTTTTTATTTCAGGAGATAAACCATATTTTTCTCAATTCTTTTATATTACTATTTTATGCTTTTTTTTATGGATTAATAATATGTGTAACGAATGTATTTTACAGACTTGAGAAGTGTCTAATGAAACTGTTAGCTAGTCGTGGAACTGAATTTCTCTTCAATTTTAGTAGAGGTATAAAATAACAACAATGGTAACAAAAATGGTAACAAAAATTGTGACAAAATAGTGATTTACGGGGGTCGCCTGTACACAATCTGGTAAAATAAATGTGACCGTCTTCCGTGAACGAATTTCTGTGTCACCGTATCCTGTGGTCATGGCGCCTCGCCAGCTAATTGCACCGCGTTTCATCGATCACCGCAAGTGTCTCGGTGGCCGATTCACCAAGTAAATTTAGAAAACGGTCAAAGACCGCCCACCGTTTCCTTTCCGTGGCACGCGTCTAACGAGCCGTTTCCGTAATCGACCGGTTATTTGTTTCCCACGTCCAGGCGGAAGCTCGACGCTTTTTAAGACGTCGATCGCAGCTCCATAAATCACCGCGTTTCCTTCACTTCCGGTCTGCTGCTCCCCCTCCCTTTTTTCGATTATTCTTCCATACTTCCTTTTCCATTTTTGGTGCAGCTTTCGCGATTGTTTGCGCAGCGGCCACTTTAAATGGATTTCTTTTATACTTCAATTTCTTTAGTTTCGAAATTTTCAACGTTCTTAATTTCGAATTCTACAACGTTTTTAATTTTAAATTCTACAACTTCTTTAATATCCAATTTTGCAGCTTCTTTAATTTTGAATTTAAATTAATGTTGAATTAAACTAATTTTCAATCTTGCATTTGTCAATTCAAATTTAAATTTCAAATTGTCTTTCAAATTTTAAATTTCGAATTGTGAATTGTCATTCGAATTTCGAATTGTCTTTCAAATTTCAAAATTTCGAATTTTCTTCAAACTTGAATTTTCCTTCGCTTTTAGAGTTTCTTTTTCTCGAATTTTCTCTCGTATCGCATGATTCCTTAGTTGCCCATGGATTCGTGAATAGTCACGATCCGTGATCGGTGACAAGCAAATTCTAATCGAAAACCAATCAGCCCGAGCCGGGGTAGTAACGCCGGTTTGCGTTAAACTTTGCTCGAGCGTCTCGTCTAATCAGAAATGACACGCTGTCACAGAAAGACAGACAGTGAGCTTGCAATATCGGAGATCCAGTGTTACACGACGGTATGGGACACATTTGACTCTCGTCAATCCTGCCCTGTTCGAAATTGCATGTACCACGACGACACGCTCGCTAGCCCGACGAATTCGTACACGGTCGCCTGGCTTTTTTTCCGTTGGAAACATCGAGTACAAACAGTGAAATTTACATTGTTAATCTTTTTAAAAAAAATTCTTCTTTAAATCGAAATTTTACTGCCGTTTAGTACCAGTCATTTATTAACTTCTTTAGAACTTGCTTTCATATTTTTTTGGTTCCTGTCTGACTTATAGTATCTATTTTACTTGTCCACGCATACACGGATCTGTTCCACTCGCCTCACCATGGAGAGATCTATTCTACTTGCACAGCCAGCTATCGGTCTATTTGATTAACAACTGACCTATATTACTTGTGTAATCTGAACTCGATGAATTCTACCTGTTTAATCAGCAACTGCACTGTCATACATGTCTGACCAATTGTCGACTTGTTTTACTGGCGAAAGAACCACGCGTACATCCTGCTTATAATTAATCAGGAATTAATCTTTTTTCAATTTCCGACCAACCATCAGGTTATACTACTTGTAAGATTGAAATCCTATAATAAATTACTTTTAAACAATCGTGTATATTCTGGATTATTAAATTCAAGGCTAGATAATCACGTAAGCCTTGAAACCGGGTTTTTATTTCTCAACTTCAATGAAATTCCATTTCACTTAAACGCATTTGAGAAATTCCCCTAGTTTAGTTGTCTGACTAGGGGCGGTGCCTATTCCACTTAAAGGACTTCAGGTGGTCGTAATCATGCCCCAGTATTTGTTTGATTGGAGATCAAAACCACTCGTGTCACTTCAAAGAGACCCCAACTTTGCATGTCTACGTAGTCACCGACCTACTCTACTTATGTCACCCAATAAGCATTCCAATTCTACTTGTCCGACTATAAGCGATCCTTATTCCACTTGTCTGCCTACAGACGATCCCATATTCCTGGTCTTCGAGTGACCCCCCTCGTTCCGTTTGACCGCGTAAACAGCCCCTTATTCTATTGTAGTATCTTATCCATCTTTTCTAGAGCCATCAATAATTTTACTTCGATCCTTTCGATTTTATTTGCTTCCTTCTCGGTTATCCATCAATGTGCATGTGCTTATTCTTGCGGACCAAAGAGCATACCAGCTTCCTTCGTCAACTTAGGAGTACTCGTTCACGTGCTCCTTTTTACATGGGATAATGTACCAGTAAGGAAAGAGGTACAGTGAACAGTATTTTTTTTATTAATTCTACTGTTATTAACAGGAGAAATATAATAAAAAGTGGAGAATCAATAGATGACTACAGTGCCTGAAGAAATATTATCTTGATGAAAAATTTGTACGATTAACTTTTCACAAATGAACCAAAACAAGTTTAAAAATAATAGGGAGATTTCGTCTTGCAGAGGTTTTTGCGTAAAACGGAGCCAAGTAACAGTACAATAAAAAAAATACGAAACAATAAAAAAAAAATTTGACCTTGAATTTCGAGGCCGAGGTCAATTTTGTGGCAAGTTTTTTAAACAGATCTCCACCGATCTGAATTTTTTTGAACTCTGCACACAATTCGTTTTAGGTTACGTTTTTATTAAGTAAAATAAACGAAGTGCCTGTATTAAGGACACTGGCTATAATTGGAACATTTACCTTAGATCATTCGTGACCAGTCAATACTGGATTGGACACTTGGGGGTTTACGTGTCACTCGAAGAGGGGTGACATGTCGGTCAACGTGTTAACCCCTTCAAACCCGACGGTCATATTTCTGTACATGAAGTTTCTTACAATATAACGCAAAGCAGATCCACATTATCTCATGAATTTGACTTTTTCCATGTTCTGAATGCTTTATTAGGTCCAGTGAATTCAGAATTGAATAACAAACCCTTCTTTAAAAATTGAAAAAAAAATATTTAAACAGTGCACTGAGTTAAAATGTGTAATCAGATTATATTTTACTCTTAAAAAAAAATTCAGGTCTGAAGGGGTCAAATAAAAAACTAATGTACTTCTCAAAATTTCTTTACAAATCGTTACCAAAGTCTTGCCAATTCTTCCCCTCATTGGGGTCATTTAAGTTCGATGACCGTGAGCTTAATCGATCTCGTGTGTACACCCTATGTCTACAATTGCATTTCCCCATCAGACCACGTGTGGTATTCGTT